ACGTAACGACGTACGAACGTACTACGTAACGTACTACGTAATACGTACGTAACGACGTACGAGACGTAGACGACGACGAGAGAGAGAGAGAGAGAGAGAAGAGAGAGAGAGAGAGAGAGAGTGGAACAAGGGTAGAGAGAGAGAGGATTTTTAGAGAGGGAAAAAGTTTATTTAAGCAAAATTTTAGAGAGAGCATTTGAGGATTTCCATAAGGGAAAAAAAAAGGTTTATGCTAGGCATCATTCATATTCTTTAAAAGAGTAATACGTGAGGTGTATCTCAAAAATTTATTTCGACGCTAGAAATTTTTTTAATATATTGTTTTAACATCGATAAATATAACTATTAATAAATAAGAATTTAAAATTTTAAAAATATTATACATAGAGGATTGTTTATTTTCAAGATTTTAGTTGTTTATAGATCTACTTATTCTTAACCATCTTTTAAAAGTTAAATTCTACAGTAGATTTTCATGTTATTATATGGCTATTCAGCGATAAAACTACATCTTTCATAATAATCTAAAGGTACACCTTTTGATTGTTTAAGATTGATGCCTTATTGCCCTTTAGAAAAAGAGAGGAGAGAGCGAGAAGCCCCAAATATGGAGCATACTCAATAAAATTATTCTTTCAGTTTTTTTTTTTTGAATATATAGACTTTTTTTCCAAAAAATCTGAGGGTTTTTGTGCAATCTTGAGATGTTATTTCTTTCGGGCATTATAAAAAATGAGCTTTTTTTTTTTTTTTTTTTGAGATCGATGGCTTGACTCTACATATCATACCCGAAAATTGGGGATCTAGAGAATATTACTAATATAAATTTTACCAAAGAAAGGGATAGATAGTATACTCCCACAAGGGAAAATCTTTTGGCTATAGGCAAAAATAGAGAGAAAAGGATTTAATTGGGAATGGTCAACATATGCGGTCAATTCCGCGTAGCCTATTCACGCAAGCGGGTTTTACCCGGTGGAGTAAAGGTAAGACACGATGCAGGTGGAACAAATCATTTTTAATAGGTGAGAATACTTTCCTCACTAAATTACCCACAAAAACGAAAGGGTATAAATTTTTAAAAAACTTACAACAATATATTTATTTTTGGTACAATATGGTCACAATTTACTTTCTATTGTTGGATGTAAAATTTGGTGATTACCATGAGTACGGGACCCACGTAAAAAAGAAAGAAGGATAAGGTGATGTTATTGTAAATTTAGGGAAAATTTTACATCAACATTTTTTATTTTTTATACAAGGGTCACAATTATTTTTTATTGCTGGACGTGAAATCAGGTGGTTGGAGATATGTCATTGACAATTATTAAAAACTCGATTTTTTTTTTAAAAAAAAAACTTTGTGATATAACTTAAATTGTTAGACTTATATTTGACAGCTAAAATTAATTGTGATCTTGCACCAAAAATAAATGGTCTCATGATATACAACCCTATAAGTTTATAACTCAAAAGGGTAAAGGCTTCAGATATATTTATAATAAAGTTTTGAGATTCTAACCCTAATATGCCTTATATTTATAAGAATTATAAAAATATCCCACAATTTTTTATTTTACATGTGTTTTTCATGGAATTTTTATTTTCCGAAATATCCTAAGTTCGAATTGGGGATTCCTTTTTTTTAGCTAAATAGCAGTTCAGTACTGACCATTTCGAGATAGCTTTATCCCTAATTGTACCGCACACGTTTTTTTTTTTGGATAAATCAGTGGGGATGACGAGCTTCTACTTTTTTTTACTTTTTATTAATACAAGCACTACACGACCCTTTCGAGAGGGGCATTCACAACGTTACAAAATGAAAATAATTACCAAATTTGCGGGATAAGGCAACTATAGCTTGAGCCATAGTTGCAGCACTTTTTGCCGGGCAATCAGCAGCCATGTTCGCCTCTCGGAAAGGGCGTTACAAAGCAGTTCGGTTTTTAGTTCCGGTTATGCTTGATTTTCAAACACCATCTAAAGTTTGTTCTCCTACAGTAATTTCCAGAACCCTACTGAAGTCCTTGCCGATGAGGATATCTAGATGTTGAAAACTATTTTGTGTTTGAAAATCGAATACGGTTTGTAACTATAAACCGGTTTGCAGTGAAGCAAAACCATTGTTCGTAAAATCGCTTGATCTAACCGCTAACCACTCGGTTAGATCGATTTCTGCTTTGGACGGTTAGGTGATCAACTGGTATTTAAAAAAAAAAATCAAAAAAATGTATATAAATTCTCAAAAATAGGGAATTTGATTTGTAATGCATTTTTAAATATTTTTTACATTATGGTAAAAATTAAAAATTATTTTGATCATTAATACTCACTTTTATATTTTCCCATATTTTTTTAAATTTTTTTAAAAATAGTTATTGAGAAATATAAAATAGGTTAAAATCTATTTTTTTCATTCACTTTCAACTTCATTTGAATATGTTTTGTTTTAATCATTCTTTATATGCTTTTCATATTTTAGTAATTTTTTTGTATCTTTTTTATTTTTTTAATACTTTTTTAACTGCCCAAGACTTGTCCGGTTATAGCAGTCGAATCAATCAGTTCACCGGTTAAACTGATTAAACCGCTTCCAGACTCATGTTCCGTTAACCGTTCCGGTTCAATTTTGTAAACACTAAGCACAACTAATTCTAAGCTGGTGCTTGTCGATTACCAAATCCGAACTAGTCAAGTTAGAGATATAAGCACAAAACTATCGGTTCTAAACTATTATTTGGGCAAGAAAAATAATCCTAGTTTCAATTAGAGGATATTGTGAAAAAGTAAAATTTCACGGAAAACGGTATATGCATAAAATACTAAAAAAGTGGGATATTTCTAAACTTTTGATAAATGTAAGTATATTTCCACTAAATTTTTTGTATTTTTACCCGATTCTTGTTTTCTTTTAGGTTCAACCAATTGAGATGAGTAAACAACCCAAATTTCAAGTCGTCAAGGCACTAAAAAAAATTAAAAATTAACAATTAAAATTTAAAAATTAATATGCAATCGTTGCGATTCCCCTTCTAATATGGCATCGTAAAATCTTCGACCAATGGCATGCCTAGGCCCAAATCCTCACCACTAGTCTTAAAATATGGCCCAAACCCAGCCCGAAGCTAAGCCCAGTGGCCTGGGCCCACCCCACTTGGCATCCCTCTACTTAAACCTGTTCATCACATTATAGTTATGACTGCTGGAAATTGGTGGGGCAATTGGGGTAAAAGAAATGAGCTTTTGTTACTCATTATGTTTTTAGGCTCCAACAAATTGCTATCAACACATGACAATATTTGTCCCTTACTTACATGAATCGACATACAACTAAATTCTCCGAACAAATCTATCCTCCAGAAACAAGATAACATAAGATTGTGCATACTCACCAATACAAGAGCACGAGTAGTGCAAGATCTGCACCGTGGAGTTGCCCTTTCTTTTTTTTTTTTTTTTCTAGAGATAAAATTCTCAAAAACACTTTAGCACGGTAGAAAACTTCGTACTAAAAAAAGAACCAATTCTAATTTATAGAGAAAAATGCCTTTTCAGTTTCACCCAATGCGAATGTTCAATGTACTTGTTGGATGGATGAAGATTAATAACCATTCGAGCCTTAATTATTAACCTTCAAAACGGTTTATCAATTGCAATCGATATGCAACTCGATAACCAACAGTGACAATTTTACGTGCCTTTTCGGGTCCTAAAACATGTCATGCAATTGCCGATACTCACCAAATTACGAGAGCGGCCAGTAGACGCCAAGTTACTGGAGGCAACATCATACCGGTAAAATAAAATGTCACATATTTACCGATTAGCATCAAAGACTAGACCCTAAAAAACTAGGGCTTGGCCTAGAAAAATGTGGCCCAAGAGTCAGGCCAAGACAGGCTTGGCCGGGCCCTTATTTTTTATTATCTCTTCTGCTCTCTGGCCGGTCTAGAGCTTGGACTGGCTCGGCCAGTTGCCAGCCCTCCTAATGTTGCCTGTGCATGCATGGATAAAAGGGATAATCTCTCTCTCTCTCATTCATTTTTCAGAATAAAAGAGAACTCTCTCACACATTCATTTTTCAAAATAAAAGAAACAATGTACGATGCAATGCCCATGCCAGGAGCATACACGCTAGAGATAATCAGCAACTGCATCACCTTATGCCATAAAACTTCAAACTTTTGACAACCATCTCAAAAGAGTGCACACCACATCCATACACAACCACTTAAATTCCAAATTTGCAGAGACAAAAAGAAACAGAAAAAGACTAAAAGACGTGGTAAACTTACCTATTGACCCAAGCACAAAAGCCCCCAAATCCTCTCTCTGGGAGACCTCCTGAAATTTTTTTGAACTACTCACATGAACTGCACAGCTTGGGGTGACTTCTGTGCCGATGCGAGCTCAACTGACAGGATAAATGATGACCTCCCAGCCTCTCGAAGATAGCGAACGTTGCCGTTCATAAGCTTAAGGAGCTTGCGACAAACAAGTAAACCAACACCCTCCTCCCCTGTCTCTTGCTCGATCTCAAACATTTGCCTCAGCAATTCCTCCGGTATCCCATGACCAGTATGAGTTATCCTTTTTTATCATAATATAAGAGAGAAACAAAAAAAAGTAAGTGTTAATATTATGCATGTGATATATCATAGTGATTCAGCATAGTATATTTTTGCATAGTTCATAGGAGCCATCACCATCCAATGAGATTTTGGGAGATAACATTACAAGTCTTGTCATGTTCTCGTAGGTTCACTCTCCATCTTTTCAATGGACGACCGTGATCCAAATGAAGGAATTTATGTACCCTTTTTCATCCTTTGAGTGGTTCATCTTCTAAAGAACAGTTCAAAGTATATGTTTGTGTACAATATTGTAGATTGATGGGGAAAAACAAGAAATGTCTCAAACAAACACACAATAGATAATCAGAGTCACAATCAGAAGATTACACTAATCAGACATCTCCACAATTCAATCCTATCCACAAGAAACTATTCATTTAGCACCATACTCAAGAAAATAACTTTTGTGACTAACACCAAACAACAGGATTAGGCCTTGCTAATCGTTCAATGTTAATTTCAATTCAACAATCATGACATGAAAAATCTACACAATTAATCAGTATACATGTACATGTATATTATGTGTTTGTAGATGTATGTATTGACGCATGCATATATATGTCCGTAAATGGATGAAACCATTTGACATGACATGGAAGGATCACAATATTAGCTTCAACCCTAAGTTAGGATATCATTCCATATCGAACCCATGAAATATTCAGTTACATGCAAAACAAGCAGTAAGGCTATGCAACTAAGTAATCACACAATAATCAATCCATATTTAGAAAAGAAAAATAGAACGAAAAGCACATGCTCAGATATAATCAAATCATTAGCCTCACCTGATCTCAAGATTCACGAGATGAACACTTTCTCCTAAAGGACTTTTGGTTAGACTCGAGGTAACCTCAATGACGCCTCGTGATGGTGTGAACCTTACAGCGTTATGTAGATAATTGCTAACTATTTGTTGAAGCCTCAGATTATCTCCATAAAGGCATTCGGACATCATTTTTTCTGGAGAACTGTTTACTATCTGAATCCCCTTCTCTCTGCTTGCTATCATGACTTGGCTCATGGCCACAATTAGCACCTCTCCAAAGGTGAATTCCACAGTATCCAGCTCCGCATATCTGCATCGCAATAAATTTAAACACCAGTTAACTACTCCCACAAAAATTAAACCATATTTCATTGGAATCCCAACCATTACTCACAAAGAATGAAATTTTCGAAAACAGACTTGGTGTGCATATATTCTTTTGATAGTAACATTTTTTATTGGTTAATTTTTGGGACTCGAGTTAACCCTGGTTATTACTTCCAAAAAAAACAAAGGGACCGAAATTAAAATATAACATGGTTATTGGCCATCAGTTAAATAAAAAGAGGCTAAATTGCTCGTTTAGAAGTTTCAATCAGAATACTTATCAGCTATATACCCAGTGCTCATGTATCAGTACCCCCTTTTATGGTTTTTTATGCTTTGGGAAAATGAAAGCCATTCATTTCTGTTATTTTTTACCATTAATATGTGATGCTGATAGCAGGATTCCTGTTGCCATCTCCAAATAGTTGCAATAAGGCTTGGATGACGATGATGTTGTGATACTAATAACACTTTTTACATGGAATAGACATGTTGGAAGAAACATATAGAACAAAAAAAGTAAGGCTTTTACCCCACACACAGAAGACTACTCTCTCTCTCTCTCTCTCTCTCTCTCTCTCTCTCTCTCTCTCACGGGCGTACACACACACACACACATACCCATCAATAATGCTTTGGAGATCCAAGTCACCAAGAATAAGAGAAATCTGGCGTTGGCAGAGTTGGCTGTTATAGATGAATTGTTTCTGTTCATCATTAAGGTCAGTCTCCTTCAACAATTTTTTAGCATACATAATACCACTAAGGGGATTTCTTATCTCCTGCCTTATATAAGCCAATGCTGTTAGCCTTCTTGCAGCTGTTTGTTCTGATAATCTCTGAACATGCAATGCTTGTTGGAGTTCAGGACTCGCAATTTGCAAAAAGCAGAAAACCCCCGTCACATTCCCCTCACCATTAAGTTTCTTGCTCACTGATAGCAAGCAATCTACAAATTTCCCATTACGGGCAAAGAAACCAAAAGAAACCTTCTCAGTATCTTGGCCTGAGAATGCATTATTTAACACTATTCCAAGGGTTGTATAGGCATCTTGGTTCTTTATTCGACAAGAAGCACCATGGACTCCAAAGACTTCACCCAGTAACATCTTGTCCATAACTTCCTCCCGTTCCCAACCAGAGAGCTTGGTCATGGCCTGGTTCCACTCTGAGCACCAACCAAATTCATCGGTGCCAAATATTGGGGGGATAAGAGGATTTAGATTTTGAACTATTGCTTTGTAATCCCCTTGAATTCGAGTAAACTTGTCCATAACCATCTTGTGTCCCGTTATGTCTTGAGCAATGAAACACACACCCACAATGTTGTCTTGGAAGTCACGACTTGAGCAAGCATTTGCGATCAAGACAAGGGAACCATTGTCTTTATGGGAAGTGTTGGATTTCATCTGAAACTCCACACCCTGCTCTTCCTCGCCTGTTCAATCCATTGCAACATATGGTAAAATTTAAAAGCAGAGGATGACAAGTGCATCGCATAAACATGAAGAGGTTCCAGAATTTATTTTTAATCCAAGAGAGAGTGGAAGTTGTTCATGTTGTGCACTGTGTGTGTGTGTGTGAGTTTGTGTGTGTATGTGTGTGTGTGTGTGTGTGTGTGTGTGTGTGTGTGAGAGAGAGAGAGAGAGAGAGAGAGAGAGAGAGGAGGAGGTA